AGAAGCAGATACAGGGAAGCTACTGGAGGTCAAGTGTCCCTATAAGCACAGAGACAAGACAGTGAAAGAGGCCTGTAAGGACACAGCCTTCTGCCTGGAAGCGGATGGTGAGTCCTACTCCTTGAAGAGAGACCATCCCTACTACACTCAGGTGCAGTGCCAGCTGGCAACAACGGGCTTTGACAAGGCTGACTTTGTTGTTCACACCAACAAAGATACAGTCATCACCTCAGTGGACTTTGATGCAGGGTTCTGGGAGAGAACTGAGCCCAAGCTGGAGAAGTTCTACACGGAGGCTGTGATTCCCCACTTGGAGGAGAAGAGAGGCAACTCAGTTTGGGCTAAGGAAGAATAAAGTAATGGGGACATCTGGCTGCTACCCGACCAGGGACTGCTGTCTTCACCAGCTGCCATGATAGATTAATGGACTATCTCTGGTTCTGCCCTAGCAGAACTTTGGGATCTAGAACATGCCGCCTGCTGAGCCTAGACTCTTCCTTCTTCTTTAGATTGTAAGCTCCATGGGGGCAAGGATAGTATCTGCCTTTGTCTCCTAGCAGCATGGAGAGACAGACAACGATTTAATAGTTCTGTCCTAGCTGCAGCACAAATACTCTTGGCATTTGGTGTTGTCTGCACACACATGGAAGCATTAATGCCTCAACATCTGCCTTTGAATTTATGCCAGTGGCTGGGTGCTAGTGCAAATTGCCCTGTCTCTAGGGAAATGGGTTGTTATAGTCAGCCTGTGGAGGGGGTGGGGTTCCATTTAATGTGCTGGAGTGAAAGTCCTGGACTAAACTTGAATTTTAGTCCCCCAAGGGATCCTTGCTATTGTTAGTGGCAGGCTTGTTGAAGATAAAAATGTAAGGTATGGCCTTTAGGGTAGTGGTTCTCAATTTTTTGTACTGGTGACCCTGTTCATATAGCAAGCCTCTGTGTGACACTCCCCACCCCCTAAAGTAAAAACACTTGTGTATTAATGCCATTATAAATGCTGGAGGCAAAGTGGGGTTTGGAGTGGAGGCTGACAGCTTGTGAAGGCCAAGTTTGAGAACCCCTGCTTTACAGGGTAACTAAACTTGTAGGTATGTACCTTATTGCAGCATCATACACAGCTGTTTCTTCCCATGCTATCTTATATTCACTCCCTCTTTCCCTGAGTGAGGGTAATTGCTAATATTTTAACAGGCTAACAGCTTGCATTTAAAATATAGTTTGGCTTTAGCATCAATCTTTCCCCCAGGAGAATGTGGGGGAAGGGGCTTACATGTCCAGAGCTACTCTTTCAAGCTGCCTGCAAACTCAGCATTAGTTAATCATTCAAGGGTGACCCAAGTAACAACACAACCAAGAGATTTCCTAGACTTTTTTTTATGAAAGTTTCTCTAGTAGCAGACCATATCCTATGCATAACAGCAGTATGGAGAGGTGCCTTGGTGTTTGAAATCACTATTTTGTTCAAATCAATCCTGTTTGGGAAATTAAAATCTATCTAAACAAAACATTCATTTTTTAGGTGTATTTTTTGAGAGATTTTTAGAAGAGGCTAGAGCTTGAGCTCTAAGTAACCAGAGGCCAGGCTAGGGCATGTGAGGGGTGTCTGGTCACACTAAGATAGGGCTGGTGTTTTGACATGCTTCTACAGATATGCTCAGCAGTGTGGTAGCAGGGGGTTGTGCCTGTCTCCCAGTTAAGGGATGCTTTCCCTTAGGTGAGGGAGATGCCCCATTTTCCTTTCTACAGCACCATGGGTGTCAGACCACTGCCACAATCAATAGTGCATTGCACTTCTCAAAGAGTTAAAGAAAAACAGCAAGCCTGTTTGCATCACAGATGAGGAAAGATGCCATCAGTCCTGGCTAGAATCTCTCACCCCACCTGACTAGCACACATGGTCTAATCCTAGGTTTTAGTACCCCAGTTAATTGTCTCACCTTTTCAAGGGGGAGACTGTCCAAGCCTGAGCCCTGGTGTTCTACCTACTCCTTACCCTACATTTCTCTTTGCTCAGTGTCCGAGTTAACACCTCTTACTTCTCCAGAGCACCAGGCTTGTACTCTGTGTTGGATTTTTAATTCCCCAGCATCCACCAAATTCTCAAAGACGACTCCATGGTAGAAAAGACAAGGCTAGTGGCTCTTCACACAGCCAAAGGAAATATTCACTGAAACTTACACAAGGGGAGTTACAGGTGAGGTCATGAAACAAGGCCACAAGGGTTATGGCAAAAGTACTTTATTATATACATCTTACTCCATCCACACACTCCCAAGAATTTGCTATTTTACATAATTTCAATAAAAGTTACTACAAACTATAAAAGTGTAAAGCATTTCAGGGGCCTGGACTCCCCCCCACAGGAGAGGGGTACAAGGAGCAAACCCTCTCAGAGAGACAGGGACATTGCTGACTGATGATGTCTCAGGGCAGCCACGTACACAAGTGTGGAAAAATAGGAATTGTGATCTTAGGTTCCTTTCATTTCCCCCCACCCCAAGAGTCAGAACACCTGCAGTTTATATGACTAAATCAAGTGCCTCCAGCACAGGAGGAGCAGCATCTTTGAAATGCAGCATCGAAGGTGCAGAAGGCACACGGGTCTGGTTCTTTGGTGGGTGGGGGGGTAAAAGGAGAATTAGAAAATGGAATTTAATACTTAGTGCATGTAGGGCCACCAGTCAGCTCAGTCATGTCCTCCCTGAGGAGAGGGAGAGAAGACCAAGTATCCTGTCTAGAACTGTAAAGGTGTACTCATAGCAGGCACATCCAATCTAAGAGGCAGCAATTTGCATAGTGGATGAGGCTCAAGGCAAAAGACCCCATATGTCTATATGAGACACTAACATTCCTCAAACTTCACCGAGGAGCCTAGACTGCTAACACTGGAGAATTCTTCAGGGGATTGGACAATTCGGACAAAAGCTTCACTTTCTTTCTGCTCTGTTGACTTCGTTCACATCCACCACACCTTCACCAAGGGTGCTTCCTGGGCGACAGCCCAGTGCACAACAGCAGGGAAAGTCCTGAGAGCCATCTCCTAGGATCTGCTTGTGGACTCTCCCTCTCCCGAGTTTCCAAAGGTTCTCCCCCCCCCCCCCCGGGCCAACTGTTTTGGGCTCCTGCCCCAACTCCTTAAGTCCCCTCATACAAGAGATGACAGTGCAACTGGAAGTTTGGGAGCAGAGGACTCCATTTTACAGGTTAGCAAGAACTGTTTTATAATTTTCTAAACATCTGTTACAAATTATTTACAGTCACTCCATTAATATTTACAGTAACCACACACTGCCCCTCTCTTCCCAACCTCTGAAGCTAGTGAGTGCAGTCGGCTCAAGAGGCTACTATTGCTTAGGCCACATGCAGCAAGTTTGAAGGCAGGGGTGCTCAATTCAGGTCCTGGGGCAGATGTCCATATCACTATAATTGATGGGCTATGACAGCACAGAGGACAACTTCCTTTTCCCCCCCCAGAGAGTGTCGCTCCAGAGCATGGTTTGTAGAGGGAGAAGCTTGTGCACTCAACAAACCAGATACAGCCCAGATTAAAGATGACATTAGTCTGGGGGAGGGGAGGGGGCACTAGCCACCTGACAACTTTCACCAGCACCAAACTCACTCTTAGGAGGTTGTCACAGGAAAGGAATTGGACACCAGTGGGATAACAACCACCCTGGGGATAAGTCTAAGCAGCCACCATACCAGAGGGAAACTACTTGGACTAGGCTCTCCTGGATTGCCTGGGGGAAAGGCACTGAGCCCCATGTGTATTACAACAGGAAGGTTTCTGGCTGACCTACTGCACTGGATTCCATTGAGAGACACTTCTCCTGCTGGGCCCCACTGCACTGGCGAAACTGATGTCTCAGCTGCATAGTTTACATGATCCCCACAAGAGAAAGAGTATTCCTCCTGGAGTGAGTCTCAACGTGCCAGCTTCCTGGAGTTGGAAGTACAGGGGGCATGCCCAGCACAAATGCTCCCACTTTCCAGTGCCACAGGCCTCCTATAGTCACTGTGCATCGATTGTCTAGCCAACTTGGGCTACAGTCTTAGAACAAAGGGCCCCCGCCCACAATCACCATCTCTCAGGGGGAGAGGATCAGTCACAGAAGCGTTTGCGGGGCACTGTCCTGGCTCGGTTTGAGCGACGGATCTCTTGTTTGGCGTCACGGCATCTCTGGCAGATGAAGACCTCAGGCACATTGGATTTGCGAATCTTGGCACAAGAGAGATGGATCCAGGTGGTGCATTCATTACACTCTATCATGGGTCTCCCTGCAAAGGGCTTCAGGCAGAAGCAGGTTATCAGGTCCCAAGCATCATCCTCTGGGCAGGGGAGAGACAGACCTCCATCAGAAAATGCCAGACAAACCCAGTTTATAGCATAAGTTTTTGCACACAGGCAGGCAGTATACATTGTCCCAGGAGCATGTAGGCCTATAGGGCTCAGCACCAACCCCCACAGACGATTAGTGATCAGCTCTGAAGGAAACCCAGGCCTGTCCTATGCTGGCCTGAATTCCCCTCTGTCTGGTTCAATCCCCACCCATTTCAGGAAGAAGCCCAGCGGCAAAGCAAGACTCCCTGCTCCCCGTGCTGGAGAGGCTACCAGTACCACACATAATGGGGTCCCACTCACCTTCTGATTTGGTGTTGGGAGGTGCCACTGTGAATTCCACAGGTGAAGCTGCAAAAGGGAAAAGAGCAATTAAAACCAGTCAAATGGTTAGTTTGAGAGAGTCTCCCAAGCTGAAGAATGAGTCTGGCTCTAGCACTGTTTGCATCAGGGGAAAGAAGGACTCTGACAGGCTGAGGCCCAACACCTTGACTCTATGCTTTGCAGTTCCCATACTTCACCTCTTGTTGGGTGAGGCTAGGACTCCAGTAGCTGTGGGCTCCCCACAAAGCCAGTGAACCTACAGGTCCTCCAGCTGAAAGACAGCAAGGTGCTGAGCATTGGAACATGATGCAGCTTTGCAGTGAGAACAAAGCATTGACACAACCACCTATCCAGACCAGGGACATCTGCCCCACTTTTCCTCTGGACCCCTCCACACTCCCCATACAAACTAGCTTGGAAGCTTACAATTGAGCTGGGAGCTGACACTGCTTGTACCCTCCTCCTCTTTGCTTTGATCCAAGGTATTCTGACAGCTGGAGCTCCTCCTCTCCTCAGGGCATGATTCCTGCTCCTTTGGTCGAAAGTAGCCTCCTACTGGCACCTCACTCCCCTGAACCCCACAAGTCCAGTCCTTTTCTTCCTTCATGAACTCCTCCAACAGGGATTTGGGTCGGAGCTCACCAGCTGGGACAACCAAGGACTCAAGACATTTTCTCATTACATAAGGCGCCTGCTCTTCTAGTACAGCTGACTCTTTCCTTTGCTGCTGAACATCACTTAAATTCTTCGTGCCAGCCAGCGTCACCTTCTGTTCCATCTCTTGATCCAAGATGAGCTTCTTTGCAGACAGTTTCTTCTTCTTGGTTTGCTGGGGCCGGGCTGCATAGAAACTGCTGGGGAAGTCAGGGCAGTTCAGGAACAGGTTGCCCCCTTTGTACTTGGCATTCCTGATTCTCCCCTCATCTGGCAGTACTTGGGAATCAGAGGAATGGGATGAGGCCCAGCTGTCACTATCCTGAGTGCTGCCTGTGCTGTTCTGGGGACTCATGCTGCCTCCAAGGGTCCAGGGTTCATTCTGCAAGGACAAAGAAGAGCACATAGGATCTGCACAGGACTACACCACAGATGTGATGTTCTTGGAGTGATTGGGGGAGGGAAGGAGACATGAGCGGAGGAATGACACAGCAGGAAGTCCCCAAACCTCAATGCCAAGAAAGAAAGGAGAGGTGCCAGGTCTGTCTCCCAGGACATTGGCCCCTTCACACAACACTAAACAATGGCACAACGCACACACCAATCTGTTTTACCTCCTCGGGGTAGGGGATGTAGCCAGCATAGGCCAACACGAAGGTGCAGAACTGGTTGAAGTCCTCCACGGTTCTTTGTCTTTTTTGTGGTGGCTGCAAAGAATGACATTTTATTGATTAGAGTCTCTACTTCCAACCTCAGACTTGATGGCTAGAAAAAAAATTGACGAAACATTGCCAGCTTGGCCTTTTAACTACAGACAATGTCCTTTCTGACTCCCACAATCTTATGCTACAGGATGTCATTGTGGGAGTCAGAAAGGACTGCGTGTGCAACACCAGCCACCAAGTAACTCCATTACACATCTAGCACATGCAGCCCAGGAATGCCTTCGCAACATTCCCCACAACCAACCCGCACACAGTCCCAGACTGCCTGAACACCACCCCAGAAGCCTGCAGTGCCCAGCCCACCAAGACGACCCTCCTTTCTCCCAAACCAACCCACACATTCAGCATGCCTAAATGTACCCCTTCAAAGATACACCCAGAACCTGCAGCCATAGCACATGCCGACACCCCCACCACATCAAATCTACATGCACACAATGTGTAGAAAGGAAATATTTGAATATCGAGTTTCTACAAGGTTTCTAAACAGGGTGAACCCCTGAAGTTGTGGAAGAGCCCCCTGCAATGAGCTCCATTTATCTGCAGTCACAGGACTGGGGTGTTTGTGGCAGGGACCATGATCTAGCCTAAGGAAATCCTGCTCTGAGATCCAGTGGGAAGGATAACAGGCCCCTACACAATTAACACAGGAGAGTTCAGACAAAGCCTGGAGCATTGGACTCTAGGGAACCATCCTGCCCTGATTCCTGAGTCTACAGCTCTATGGAGGGGAATCAGAACAGCTGTGCCACCATGACAGGGGCACCTGAGAAGAGTTTCCTCTCAGGACAATCAAGTTGCCCATTATGGAACTCCAGAGTCCTACACAAAACAGCCTCTTGCACCCACCTCCTTCAAGGCAAAGGAAAATGAAAGCACTGGAGCCAATCCCAGCCAGCACAGAGACACTTATCTGACTGACTGGGGATAGGCCATATGGGCACAGTGCTACCATTTATTTCAGCCAGGCAGTCCATGCCAGCTACCCAAGGGCAGTGAAAACTCATGGCTGAGCCTGAGTCAACACCAGCAGCTTGGAGGCCCCCTCCCTGCTGGTCTTCAGGCATCTAACACTTGGAGCTACCAGAAAGGCCAACTCTCCAGCCCCTCAATCCCAACTCTGAAGGGCAGTACCCCCAAAGAGCAGAGGAGGAAGTTCATGATAAACACTGAGAGAAGCCTGAAATTTCTACAGTCCAGGGCCTGGTCACATCCCAACTCCAGAGGTCTGACTCCACCCAACCACCCCTCTTCCCCAAGGGCTAAAGGACAATCACTTCCAGCCATAGGGAGGGGCACCTGCCTCCTGGAG